TCATAATTTTTTTAAAGAAGAATCCAATCCAAGAGAATCTAAAGAGTCTAAAGAATCGAAAGAGTCTAAAGAAAAGAAACAATCAGCAGATGTTCCTCCTCGTAAAATCAATTTTTTGTCGCACAGTGGCGTTAAGTATTGCGTAAAATTTTAGAAAAGTTCCGGCCGGCCAATGATGCCGAAACCATAAACGAAGTTGTTAGTAACTGGGGAGCTGCACAGGCAATGCTCCAACAGTAAGTTTCGGAACTGTCACTTGTTTTTTCTTTTGTGTTAGCTTGTTACCTAAATTTTAGTGGACTTATTCAAATGCTCTTTTCGCACCTTTATTATACCTTAGCCATGAGCTGTACAAGGTTTGAAAGCGCTTCCCTAATTTAAACCTTACTCACCTTATATTCAAATCATTTATTCTAGACTTATTGAGCTTAAAATGAAATGTCATATTATTAATAAAGACGACACTTCGACACCTAGGTTTTGTGGCTTAAATCGCCACCTTCAAAATTAGTAGAAGTCGCTATGATTTAAGTAAATAGATCTAGGTACCGAAAGTGTTGTTTTGAGTGAAATTTCTAGAAAACAAAGTTATTTGAAATTATAGCAGTAATTATCAATGAAATAGATAGTCTAGCTTAGGACTTCCTTTCATTTGAAAAATTTGTTAGTGCCATCACATTAGAATTAGGAGGACGGAAAAAATCTAGTTGTCGAGATTTCCAACCAGAAGCTTTACGGCTTTGATTACGGGCTATTTGAAAGGTCTTCTCGACTATGCCTATAGTAGGAAATTATCGCAAAAAACGATAGCCCTTCAGAGCAAAGTCTGGAGAACATACGCGCCTTGACCTTCCTCAAGTATTCTCCTCCAAACTCGTATAGCCTTAGGTGCGCAGTGTCTTGAAGACTATGAATCAAAATTAATGAAAAAACTAGCAGTATTACACAACATAGCACAATTTAAAAACAGCAGATATGAGCGGTTCGCAAATGCTTTGGTTCCGTTTAAAAAGTGAGTTTCAAAAGGTGTCAAAAATACTGCTTTCCTCTCGACCTGATGTTCCATCTCTCAGTGTAATCAATAGCCAGGGAGAAATGATAAGTCTGGTTTTGTAGTGCAGAAAAAGTGCCGTCAAATTATATACATCCTTGACAAAAGTTAGCAAAAATGCATATGAATAAGGAGCAGAAAATACTGTGGAAAATTTTGTAACAACCTACTATGTGCAATGCCTTTTCCAGGAGAGCTCCAGCTGCGCCCCCGCAAGAAAGTTAGTCCTATTCTTTGAGAGATAGTGCATTCAATGATAATTTCACAATTCTAGGCTCAAAAGAAAAAAAGCAAGCTGTTCCACCGCCTAAACCACCTGAGTCTCCCAGACGACAACGTAGGGAGTCACGAGTTACATTATGATCATGATGCTGATCAGCAATCTTATATGACTGAGGAGTGTAATCATGCGAATGAGTCGTTTCTTTCAGAAAAGTTCAGACCTGCAGATGACAATGAAACAGTCAATGAAGTTGTTAGTAATTGGGGAGCTGCACAAGCAATGTTGCAAAAGTATATGTGTTCTGCTATCTTTGTTCCTTTATCAGTAATTATAATTTTGTTTCAGAAGAGAAGGCGTCCCTGCACCACCTCTAGGAAGTTAGTCGCACTTTAAGAGTTGTTTTGAAAAAAAAAAACATTGCACAAGTTCAGGTTCAAAAGACAAGAAACCAGCTCCACCACCTCCACCTAGACCAGTAGCCCAACGTAA